CTTCGGGAGCTATGCTCTATTTGGAAAAGCTTCCTTCTAAAAGGAGGGATTCTAAAAGGAGGGATTCTAAAAGGATTCTAAAATTAATCAGAAAACTTTATTCCAGCCTCTTTAAATTCTTCTTAACATTTATTACCCACTTATCTAACTTTGTTAACTTAGTTAAGTACAGTACACTGAAAATAATTGAGTCTTTGTTTATTGGTTCAGGACCACTTGGCAGGGATGTTGTTGAGAGGACTCAAACATCAGATGAGTGGGTTGACTTAGATAAGTGTTAAGATCGCCTTCAAATCTTCAATCTGGGATCTGGCCAAGTTGTACTTTCATTTATCAGAATGAATGTCGATCACCATTGGACAGCACTGAAGTATGAACAGTCAAGAGGCAATACGGCATAGTGGTTAAGACCACAGGCAATGGAGCCAAAGTGTTTCGATTTATATCCTGACTGCCATGGGACTCTGTGACCTAGAGCAAGTTACCTAACCTCTCTGCCTCAGTTTCCGCGAATGCAAAATGAGAATAAAGAACCTAACTCAGGATTGCTATGATGGTTAGAAGAGTGACTTCATCTAATTTACTCCTTAAGTCCTGGCACGTAGGAGATGCTCAAAAACAGACAGGGTTTGACTCAGGCCCTTTACCTCCCAAACCTGTTTTCCTCACAGCACCCAGCTTTCTCACTACTCCAGAACTGCTGTGTATGTACAAAACTGAGCTGAACTTATGTTGATGCAGTAATATCCTATGAACTGCCTTTTGAAATCACACTTAGTACCGCTCAACTTCTTGTTAATGCATTTATTCTTAAAGTAGAATCAAAACAACTGTTAATTCTATCACAGTTTACTTATATGTGAGTATAAATGGTGAGTAAAGCCAAATTAAGACCCACTATGATGGTGAACCTTCCTCAGGCTGTTTCTTGTCTGAAATTCTTTGTGCTTCTTTGCACAGGACTACACACTTTTGTCCATTATGATTATCTCAGTTCTTTTCTGCACTATGAAGTCCTGCATCTTCCACTCACCCAAGTACTGTCTCAGCCTCTCTACGCTACTTAGTGTGAATGTCCTGTCACTTCAAAATGGTAACTTTTAGGCTCCTGCAATCCCAAAATATCTTGTCCAGGACTGAACATAATTAGCATCCAATGAATGCTTGATGCTTTGGGTTGGGATGATCTACAGCAAATATTAAACAAAGCAGTTTTTCCATTTAAGAGCAGTCCACCAAAAGATATGCCATATGGAAGAGAAACCTTGAGAGAGCAAGCCTAAATGACCCAAAGAAAGAAGTTAAAGAAGGACTAGCTATGAAGAACTTAGAGTATGAAAAACGAAGAGAGGGGAGCCAAGGGAAACCTCACGAAATAAGGAGTCTGGCAAGAGAAAATGAGACGAAGTGGGAGAAGGGACGGTGATGGAGTCAGACAATTTTAGGGTTTGAAATGGGAGGGGAATTCTAGAGTTAGGGTGGGTTCTGATCCAATGGAAAAGTATTGGGTCAGAAGCCTTCCCAAGTTTCTTTGGCTAAAGAGCCTGGGTGGCAATCTGTGGGTGGTCCACACGTAAGAACACGAAAAACTGGACACAGATACAAGTGGAGAGAAGTGTCATGTAGCCAGGAGTGGTAAGAGTCAATCCTAAATGCAGTCATTTGGGTACAATGTGCCCTTCAGAGGAGGGCATGGTGACAGCATGGGCTAATTTACAGAGCTGCCAGGGCAATAACTCAGAAAGCAACACTGCCTTCTCACAACAAAGCGAGGCCGTCCAGAGTGTTCCATGGTGGTAAAAGCTGCATTACAGCATACTGAGATCCCGGAACCAATGAAAGGAGACAGGTTTACCAAAACGAGTCTTGACGCTGAGTATGTTTCTGGCAAATACATTATTAGGCACTCATTCTACTCATGCCCTGCAGAAACTATTTAGTTTCCTTATATGGACCTTCTCTTCAGCTCTCTCTGTATAATAACTAACGTCTTCTTAAAGAAACAAAGATAGAAAAAGAAAACAGAACTGTTCCACTGTCCCTCCACTCCCTCGGTATTTTTCAGAGAAATGAGTAGAGGCTCATATGGTGCAAAGTGTCAGAGAGGAACTAACAACTTTTGAAATTACTTTTGAAAAATTAATTCTGCTAAAGAAATCTGTATTGACGGGAGAAGGCAAGGGAGACACTGCAAATGTCTATGTTGGCGGCAAGAATTAAGTAGCCTATTTTAACCATGATTCTTTTCTTTAATCTCATTAGAACTAACCTTACTGCTACTAGAACACGACATGTTTGCATGAGTAGAAATGCTATCAGGATATAAAAAAATCAAATGCCAGCCTCCACTCTTAACTGAGAGTCAACTTCTAACACTATTCCTCTTAAAATTCCTCAGTTGGTTTCCATGACCTACAAATCAAATTTAAACTCTCTAGCAGGGTCTTAACTTCATTTCGCAACACATTTTCCTCCCTAGTCTCAAAGTCTACAGTCCATGCTTCCCAAATGCCATGCTCCTCTGCCTGGAAAACTCTTTTGATAACTCTTTGCCTTGGTAAAATCCTACTCATCCTTCAAATAATTGCCTGGTTTCCTCTCCTCCAGGAACACTGCCCTGATGCTTACCCTCCCACGCTCTCAGAAGGTCCTATCCTTATCTGTCCCTGCAGTCACATGTGGCACTGAAACTTCATTTTATTGGCTTATCTCTTCCACTAAATCCTAAGGATGGGTGCCAAACCTATGATTTCTGCTATGCCCTCTAGTGCCTGGGTCAGAGGCCCGACACATGGTAGATACATCAAGTTTTAAAGAACAGTGAACAGCCACTCATAAAACTCTTTCCATGTGAAAATATCCACTCTCTTTAAAACCCTTCATAATGTAAGACAAGTATCTTCTCCTTTTGACCACATACACTGGCAGGATGACTTTGAAAGAGTGCCCTCAATCCTTCATATCCCTGATGACATTTCACGAAGTTGGTAGCTGATGACATCAGTCAAGACATCAGAAAGGAAGCCACCATTTGTGGAGAATGTATGTGCCTGCCACCAAGCACTGAATCTGTGCTATATACACCTTACTTCGGTCTTGACAGCCCAAGGGAAGTCAGTTTAGTTCTATTTTTACGAAGAGTCTGAGGCTCAGAAATTTACCCAAGGTCACACAGCCAGCAAACAAGGAAGCCAAACTAATACAACGTGCAGGATCAGGACTAGATTTTCTTCTAAATGAACTAAAAAATGAGGTTGGCTGAAACTAAGATTTCCCACAGGGCTGAAAAAATGACGAAGGCAGCAAATAGCTTGTCCATCTCAGACTATAGGTATGCAGTTTTAACAATATTAACTGAAGACCAGTCTCGTTCCTGTTCAGAATTTAAATAAGTACACACATCACTGCCACCCTGTCAGAAAACAGACTCATCAGACACTCAGTTTGAAGTGCTATTTTAAAACAACTTCTCAAATTTATTTAACTCATGTGGATAACATGGTAGAGAACTGTATAAAGAAGAGCCAGTATTCAATTCTCGCTAAGCCTTCAGAGTTTAGGTAGCATACTGGACACAGAAATGACAGGATTTATATTACCCCTTGCACGATGGAACTCCAAACAGCACCAGAACTTTCCAGTTCATATTCAGTTTTACTAGACATCTCAGCATAAAAAAAAAAAGTATCTCCACTGAGAGTCCAGAATGATGAATTTTTTTTAAAAAGTCACACTAATACATATTATTGTAAAATTCAAATCCAGGGTAAAAGGCGAATAGAAAATATTATTAACCATATTAATATTAGACTTATAGGAACACTCAAAACTAAATGAAAAGTAATATCTTCAAGATTCAGAGAAATAATCACTTTATATATAGAAATATTACTTATAAAGTTTTTTAGAGAGATTTTTGCTATAGGGCACAATCACTCACTGGAAAGACAAAGAGACAGAAAGCAAGAAATCACCCCTCAAGGGGGATGGCCATGCTGCAATCCCTTCTCCCCCATTCTCTTCTTAGGATCTTGGGCACACATGCACATGTGCCCAGCATGAGTTTTAAACGGCCGTGTCTAGCACTCGAACCTCAGTTGACTCCATGGGAGCCCAGTGATGTAACCATTATGTCATTGACTGATCCCTTCTATATAGAATTCTATACACCTAAACTAAAATGTTTTCAGATTTCAAATAGTGTCCAAAAATGTTAATTGCCAAGCACCTTTTCTGAACAAGTGGTTTAAAAATATACTTTACAAAATGAAAAAGTAGCTCAAGAAAGAGGATCCACAAAACAGAAGACCCCATACAGGGAAAAAAAAAATGTTCTAGAATGAAGGTAAAGGGGAGTCCCAGACTATACACCGGTCATTAAGCCCAGAGATTTGTCAAGATTAGCACAGGAGTATAGATAGTTCTAACAGGGGTGACTCTTAATTGAAAAAAAAAAAAAAAAAACTACTGGATTGTTGCTTTCTCTTTAATTTTCCATTTCTATTTAGAAAAATGACTAGAGGCAATGACAAAAATAACCATTTAAAAGGGATTCCTCTCCAGAAATTTTTGGTAAAGGTTTAAGTCAAAGCTTTCCATCTTTCTCTCCATCCTTTTTCATTAAAAAATTAAAAAAAAGTGGGGGTTCTGGAATATGTCAACCTTCGCTCAGCATGCTACACAAAGCCTCTGCCTCCTCCCGTCCTAGACACAATACCAGGACTCATCTCCCAGACCTCCAGTCTCAGTCAAGTCCCTCCCTACCTGGTTGCTAAAGCAGGTCATGCTAATCCCAAGCTCAGCCACAATTCTAGCCTTAAACAGTATACAGCTGATTGCATCACTCGTGGCACACACTAGGCTGAAGTAGGAGGAGCAGGTCAGACATCCCTGTCTGTTACGGGTGAGCATGTCAACACACAAGCCTACGTCCCTTCTCCAGAGCTCAATGTGCAAGGTCACAGCCATACTATTTCAGTCCTCTGGGCTAACTGCCTATCTAGCCGTAGTAGAAGTCACTTGAAAGTTACCACTGAAATAGGTGATTTTTCCATAAGTAAAATGAAAAATGCTTTATTTGCTATTCAGACCTAGTAACAACTTACTCTCTCCATCTCTTCTTGGGGAGCCAGTACTTTTTTTAAGGCAAATGGGGGACTTAAAAAACAGAGGTGCGATATCTGTAGAATGTGTGCCTTACATTCCTCACTAACCTCCTGGAAAACTGATGTTCTGGAATGTTCCATTTCCTTGAAAAGGAGGAACTGTAGGTAACAATTGTACATTATATGTAGGAGGAGATCTCTTTTTTTAGCCCTCTCTCATTAGATGGGTCTCACTCTCCAGATTCTGGGAGTGAAGAGGGACAATATACCACAAGGAACAGTGCAAAGCACGCTCTGGGTCAGCGGCATGAAAACTCCTCGGGTGTCATCAGCGCTGACTCACGGTAACTTCTGGAAGACTTGAACACATCATTAAATTTCTGTGTTCTCTGCCTCAGGCTTTTCCCTAACCACTAATGGCAAGTGAAGGTCTAGAGAGCTTTTGTGAAAGGGACAAAACACAAGCAACGCCCAGGTCTGTGGCCCATGGTCAGTGTGCTGTGTAATGGAGGAAGACGATTACAAGGAGATTTTGTTTCAACCTTTAGTCCAACACTAAGATCTAAAAGACAAAACACCACTTTATGGGGCCAGGGGATAGAAATGTGTGGGGGCAGGGTGTTGTGTTCAGTACATCCAGTAGAATTCAGGAATAAAAACCACCTACACACGCTCACAGCACACAGAGACACAGGAAGGAATGCTCCCTGAGCCATAAGTGGGCCAGGGCAGGAGGTGAGTGGGACACAGTGGGACAGCCACTTCATAGCTTCAGTAAGATTCTGAAACCTGTTCCAATGTAATTCTGGAGTGAATTCGTCTCCTGAACAGGTCAAAGATTGTGCTTACAAAATGTCACTAGAAGGTAACAACTTTTAAAATATCCTTTTGCTTCCTGCCTCCAGGTGATTTCCTTTTGGTTAAAAACCAGAAATAGTATACACCTCACAGGATGGAAGCACAGTCCTTTGATACAGGTGAGATGCTAGATGAACTTACACAGTAAGTGAGAGTCCATGCTGCTTGGTCTTCTCCCTCGACCACTCCGAGTCTCTGACCTGCCACAGCCGGCAGTTTACTTCCTCTGGAAGAAGCCTGTGATGGACACTTGTCTGTTGGCTTTGCCTAGAGCAGCAGTCCCTTTCTTCGGGCCCTTACGTTCCTCTTTCGGTTCCTTCTTCACTGCCATTGCAGAGGGTCTGTGCACAGAGGGTGTCTTCGGCTTCATTTCCTCTTCACTATCTGTGCAGGATTCACTCTCATAGACTTTTTCAGTCACTGACAGAAGGGAAAAAAATGAGACATGAGAGGCTGGAGTCACTTGCTCTGTCAAGAGAATGAGATGTCTGGCTCACACCTATCACCTCAGAGCCTCTGATCAAGCAAGTATGTGCACCTTGTACTCAATGTTCCTCCCACTGGGAGATTATCTCTAACCTTGGTAGGAAGTAGGTGGGATCCAGAGCTCAGGCAGCCTCTAGCTAGAGCTCTGCATTGCCATTTACCCTTCTTCCCCTGCTGCTACGCCCCATATCTGTAAATGGGCCTTTGCCAGTTCGTTGCCGGCATCCTTTATCTGGTACTGGTCTATGTGAGCTAACTTCCTTGAAAGATCTTGAAACCTGCTTATGACTCCATATTTTGACTGGCTTCTTGAGTCTTATCTCCTTGGCTCCCAGTGCCTGTCCACTTCCACTGCTGGTTTTCCTGGTCTTAAACCTCTGGTCTGCATATCTGTAAATGGGCCTTTGCCAGTTCGTTGCCGGCATCCTTTATCTGGTACTGGTCTATGTGAGCTAACTTCCTTGAAAGATCTTGAAACCTGCTTATGACTCCATATTTTGACTGGCTTCTTGAGTCTTATCTCCTTGGCTCCCAGTGCCTGTCCACTTCCACTGCTGGTTTTCCTGGTCTTAAACCTCTGGTCTGCTCACCAGCCCCCATTCTGCCTAGACAGGCTTGAAGCCATAGGCCCTCCTGGCTAGCTCTCTATACATTCCAAGTAAAGAGAATTGGAGATTCCCTACTCCACTGTTGGGATGGTAGTTCTGAATGACAGTTAATTAACTCAAGGTGTAGTATTAGTCCACATCAAGAAGGTTACGTCCCAACCAAACCCTATCAGGTGACACACTTGATAAGGTTAAGGAAAGACAATGATATAATGAGAAACAAAGTCACCAGTTCTTACTCCCTATCAGCCAAAGACATAATTTTGCCTTTTCCATATCATTAAAATGCACAGCACTGTCCCATGGAAACTTGGAAAAGAACTATGGCCCCAAAGGGCACAGGCACAGATATGGTGCCACAGGGCTGATGCAGGTCTCTCCAACACTGCTGTGATGCATACTCCCACTACAAGAAACTGTGGAGGCCGCCTTCCTGTCACTTCAGGGAGCTGCAGGAGCAGCCATACCACCAAAGCCATCTAAATTCTTTCTAGGCCTTTCTGGTTGCACCAAGTGACACAGAGACATGAGGGAAAACATCTTACCTGAAAAGAATAACTTGATATGCCTAAAGATACTCAAATAATTCAAGTGAAAGAAATTTTTTCTTATTAAAAACAGTGAGTTTCAAGCTCTTAAGTATTGATAATTACTTCTAAAAATACATTAGTCAAATTGTCAAATAGATCTGTGTTCTGCTTAGTCTGTCACCTGTATAATCTCCAACTTTAACACAGAACAGAGTCATCTGACTTGTTAAAATACAGAATGCTGAATTCCTTTTCCAGAGTTTCAGATGTAGAAAGTCTGAGATGGGACCTGAGAAGTTCCTTTTCTAACATATTTCCAAATAAGATTCATACTGCTCCTGGGGACCACACTTTGAGAACTGATACTCTTTTCTTTCCTGTAAAAACAGGGTACTACTACCGCATGGGATGTTCAGATGTACCTAGTCATCTTTGGCAAGTACTCTTCAATGGTATTATGCACTCACAGATTGACCATTCTGAAGTCAACTGGCTATATCTACCCAAGCATTCTTTCATTCTTATTCATCTTATCACTGAAAGACTAATTAATTAACAATCCCCTCTCTAAGAATTCCTAGAATTTGTCTTTATGTTTAAGAACCTAGAATTCAGGGACTAGCAGTTGGTGTAATGGCTATGTCGCTGGACTCCCATGTAGTCAACCAAGGTTCAAGTCCAGGACCTGGTAGCTTAAAGTCAAACAGAGTGCATGTGTGTGCATGCCCATCCCCCCAGGGGGTGACTTCTCGCTTTATGTCTTTCTGTCTCTGTCTTTCTGGCAAGCGCACATGCCCTATAGCAAGAAAACCTAAAAAAAAAAAAAAAAAAAAAAAAAAAAAAAAAAAAAAAAAAAAAAAAAAAAGAAAGAAAGAAAAAGAAAAAAAGAACCTAGAATTCACTTTGATGACTTCTATTATAGTTTAGATAATGGTCTATTCCCCAAAGGTTCATATTTTGGAATCTGGTCTTGGTGGGTCAATGTTCCCTATGGGTTCATGTGTTGGGCATGACTGCATTACAAAGGTGTTAAGTGAAAGCTTAATTCCTTCATGGCAATCCAGTGTAGGGCTCTGGGTGTGATAAAGTCATCAGGGTGGAGCCCCCATAACTGAATTCTAGAGTGTAAATAAGGACAGCAAATGAGGCAGGTAGAGGCCACGTGGATACAGACTAAACAGCTCTTCTCAAAGTTGTCTTCCACCATTTTGTGACGCCTTTGGAATTTCTAGCCACCAAAATCATGAGTCTTGCAAATAGACCTCTATTTTCTGTATATATTATCCTGTCTCTGGTATTTCTCTTAGCAATGCAATAATACACAAGACAGCTCCTGTCCACTGAGAGGCTAAAATACACTGGTAAACTTTATATCTATACTAGTTATTAGTGAAGGCCTTGTTGCTCAAACTATGCATCATAGGCAAAAGGCACTAGACTCTCTTGTAAGCTTATTAGAAATGTAGACTCTTAGGTCCACCTCTGACCTACACCTCTGACCTACTGAACTGAAATTTTAATTTTAGCAACATCTTCAAGAAATGCGTAGTCAGCAAAGCTTCGGAAATGTAGGTCTAAAATACTTAGGGAATTTCCATGGCATGTCTATTAGTTCAGCAATTACGATTCCCAGACCGTACCCATCTCATAGGCACTTTCAAAAGCATTATGTAACTACATTAATGGGACAAAATTAAGAACTGTTTTTTACTCAATAGCCTAAATTAGAAAAGTCTGAAGAGCCAGCTACAGATAGAGAAAGTAAACAAACTACTACTATTTGGTGGCATTTTGCTCCTTTATAAGCTATGTTCTGTATTCACATGGCAGCATGTCTACATGATTACGTCTCAGTCCTAATTAGCTCTTTATTTCATGACTTATTAGTGAAATTACTGGCTGTCTCACTGCCAATTTTGTGCAATATACTGCTTGGGGGAGTTAAAAACCAGTTAGGGCAGCACAACACAATTTCCTCAGCAGCATACTCCATACCTTAGGAGCTAAGAGCAGAATTTCTATATGCAAAGATATAGCTACTTTGAACTACAGGACAAAGGAGACTGCAGTTTAAAAATATAGCCCATATCAGCTAAACAATATGACACATTTCTGGGCTGCCATTTAAAGAGGCTGATTTGTGTGGGTAACATTGGAATTCCTTTCTATTCAACTGCTTTGCTCTTAGAGATCCACCCTTGTCTAGGGATCCACCCCAAGCTCATCTGAAGGACTCAACTCCCCAGTCCCTGCTGCAAACTCACAGAAAGGGTAATACCAGCTTTGTAAACCCACAAAATAAATCTGAGCCAGCACAGGACAGGGCAGCCCCTGCACCGGTATGTCTGGAACGGCCTGAGCAGAGAGAAAAGCAGAACTCCTTTGTTGGTAACCAGAGCCAAGATTCATTAGGTTGACTTGGACTAAAAAACCTTTTTTAAAAAGTGCTATGTGAGCACAGTTTTCATTGTTGTGTCCAAGGCTCTTTAACAGTCCTGTCTAGAGACAGGAGTACAAAAGTCCACACCCTACACCTGGCCAAAACTTGAGTACTATGTTTTGAACAAACCAATAAATAATTAGCCAGACATTCTCAATGAATTCTAAAAGCCATATATTTTACTATTTTGGGGGAGAGGGGTTGTGGGGTAGGAGGACGAGGAAAAAACTTGTACTGATGTCTTAGTCATCTTAAATTTAAAAGAAAAACATGAAATTGAACAGTAAATACATATATTACCACTAATGGCAAAACCAAGAGGCTTGAACTTTCATAAGTTTGAAAACAAAAACAAACCCCAAAGTCTAGAATTCATAGGTTCACAAGAAATTTAACATTAAAAAAGACATAATTTCCACTTGTAAGGTATTTTATTCTCCAATTATATGCTATAATTATACTGGCACAGACCTTTTCAGAGGAATGGGAGGTGGGAAATATGGGACAGGGTACTCAACCAACAGAATGTCCTCCCTAGCTATAACAACCACATCATCCAGGCAAAGTGGATTCTTCTGAGCCAACTGATCTTTTAAAGATAGAAATTTGGGACTAGCAGATGGCGTAATGGCTATGTTGCTGGACTTCCATGTAGTCAACCACAGTTCGAGTCCCAGACCTGGGGGCTTAAACTCATGCTGGGCGTGTGTGCATGTGTGCCCTAGATACCAAGAAGACAATGGAGGATGGTGGTGTGGCCATTCCCCCCTGCCCCCCGGGGGCTGGGTGATTTCTCACTTTCAGTCTCTCTGTGTCTTTCTGGCAAGTGCACGTGCCCTATAGCAAAAACCTCTCCAAAAAAAAAAGAAAAAGAAAAGAAAGAAAGAAATTTGAACTAGACAAGAAAAATCAAGAAAGGAAAAAAAAATCCTTCTCTACATCTAGATCTCTGGTGGCAAGTGCCACAAGAAAGGAGAAATGGCAATCATGGGCTAGTCAACTAGAAGAAATCTAAGAGTCCAGACTTGTAAGTCTTTCCAAATACAAAACACAGCAGCAGAATTGGAGCACGCCATTAGGGCTCAAGTGCTAAGTGTTAAAAGCCCTACAGAGGTCTGGCTTGATGTTGAATATGGTAGAAGAAACTAAAACATGGCTGAAAAATCAGCCAATGACTCAATGCCTGAATTCTATTCCCCTCTAGGCCTTCATCCCAAGCACATGCTTTTACCTAACATGGCTTACAAATAAGATACATAAAGGAAGCCATCTGGATGAGTCACTCCCCTCTGGAGAACAAATGGGCTGAAATACCAAAGACGACTTCTGATCTCCCTTTCAGAGCCCAATCATCTGTAGGAGCTTCTTTTCTACTGATTACACTTAAAACAACCACGCTAAAAAAGAACAAATGTTTCTCAATGTCTAGGACACCATCTTAAGTTCATAGTGTGGGTTTCCATCTTGAAAGGGATTTCAGATACATCCTTAACTCACTCGATTCTTCATAATGATCCCACATTTAAGCAAAATGGGCATTATACCACCATTCCACAGATCAAGAAACTCTCCACCAGAGATGCCATGACTCTTAGCCAAGATCCCAGTACTTTTTAATAGAGTGACCCAAACAAGAACCCCAGTGTCCTGACTTTAGTTGTAGAGTTCTCTATACTCTGCTCCTCAAAGTATGGGCCAGCGTTGGCATCACTCGGAGGTGATTCATTGCACATTAAAGATTGAGACCTGCTGCTCAATGAGGGGTTATAGTGTCTTTCTAGAATCTATCTCTGAATTGGAAGCCAAAACTGTGTCTCACCCATACAGCCTTCGTCATCCACAAAGGTTTTAGATTTCAGTACGCGCTTTCGTTTTCTTTTGTGTTCTCCACTTGAGCTCTAAAAGATCAGAGGGAAATCAGAAAATACAATGTTAAGCAGTGAAGCTATAGAGAAAAACAGCACAAAGGCGTTTAAATCTGTAACAATCTCCCTCTAAAATTCTGTTAAGACAAAAAAATTGAAAGAGAGTCTCTACACAGAACTTTCAGGGACCAATGCTACCACAGACACGTTGTACTCACTGTCTGTACAGACTTGAGATTTTAATATATAATTTCTTTTTTTATCTACCGGTCTCTCATCCCATTTTCTCTTCACCTAATGAGGAAATTAGTATACAACAAATGAAGGAAACTAATAGCCCCAAGTGGGGGGCTTATCAGCACCCATTTTGTCAACTCTTCTCAATCTACACTAACAGATGTAGACAAGACCCAGCTGGAGAACATCCAAAACTCTCCATTTGTGTCGCCAGCTTGACTCATCCAACCTTTTTCCACAAGAGCTTCTTAAGAGCAACAAACATGTGTGAGTTGTTTGTTCCCCTCTATCTTTCAAAGGCAAGACCTCTTTTTGCACAATTCCAAAAGCAGTTGTATAGTAGAGAAGGCCTGAAGTTGAACTCATGAGAAACAAAACAGCTTCCAGGATCCATTTGTGCAACCTTCTTAAAACCATGCCCTACAGTGAAATTTCTCTTCAGGTGAGAAAAGAGTGAATGCCCATTCTGTAAAACCTGTAGGGAATCGGAATGAGACAAGAGCCATCTACTGGTATCTGTGAAGTATACAGCAAGTGAACTGACTCAGCACAGCAGCTGTAGGTCCTGGAGTGAGAAAGGATGCTTATCTCAGTAAAGATTTACCTTGATAGGAGGAGGCTCAGGCTCAATCTTCGGCACGGGTTCAGGAGGTGGGGATACAGGAGGCGGTGGGGATGGTGACTCAGCTTCATAAGCACCAGGAGAGTCTGGGAAGACTGAAATAATGAAACAAGCTTAGATAAAAGAATAACATGCACTATCTGGTACAGTGCTTTGGCCGCTGGCTCTCTCAATTTCTAGGTCCATGAAAGGGCACTGCGCAAGCAGTAATTCATGACAACCAATGACTTCACAGTTATATAGTTACCTTTAAAATGCACATTTTATACAAATAAAATCAGAGAATCAAGAATTACTAGAGCCACAAGTACTTAAGAGATCATCTTAGCTAAAGGCTTTATTTACCATGTATGCCATGTATCCTCACAACAGCCCTAGGAAACAGATACTATTATTCACACACTACAGCTGAGCAAAAAAGGTTCAGAGAGGTTCCTTAACTTGCCAGGGTCATACAACTGTAACAGAGACAGGAAGTTTTAAACCCAAGCCTGATTCCACAGCTTTCTGATTCCTAGCCTATGCTGTCTTCCCATTCGGGACCAGGTGTTTTCTCTCAAAATCAAGGGAGTGGAGATAATCGTCAGATTATACCAAATGTTCCATGCCAGAGTCTTTGTAATTGTGAGTGCAGGATTACTTGCAGTCACCTGAGATGTTTGTTAGATTGAAAATTGCCAGCTAATGTTAAGAGCATAAACTTGGGAGTGGGGGAGGAGATCATCTTTGAAATGATCACAATTACAGCTCTAACAACTAAGACCTGCTCACTCTTTTGTATGGAAACTCTTTCCAGTGATTGCCCCACAGATGAGCCTCGTTCTGCCATGTTGCGATTAGCAGTAAAGAACCCACTGAAGAAAGAAATATTGCTATGGAAGTAGAATCACCCGAGAGAAGAGCACTACCAAAGGGATCTCATTGTGTTTCAATAGTTCCAGAAATAGTGGTCTTAGTATAGGGCCCATGAGAGGGAAGTGAAAATCCTCAGCTGACCTATTGCTTAATCATAGCAAAGAAACTGCTGGTCAGGGGACTGTGTAGCTGCTTAGCCTCACCTGCTCCCTGGATCTCCTGGCTGTATTCAAATTCTTAGCACAAGTCTTGGATCTGAAATTCTCCCAACTGATTAGGTCAGTGTTAAAAATTATGACAGTAGAGGGTTCAAGGCCAAATGACCTAAAGAGGTGAAGCAGAACAAGAGCCAGAATGAAACAATAAACTATACACTTCAAGGGCGAAATGGGCCCCAACACTTTATAAGCTCTGGGAATCAGGAGACAGAAACATAAAAGGAAAGCATCCAGCTATTGGCCCAGCTCTGGGAAGTGAGAGTGTGATGGGAGCTCAAACAGACAAAAGTCAAACCCCAACACTAGGCCTCTGCTATTGGGAAGGACCAGCAGGTGAGGAAGTGGGCACACCACGGTCCATGCACTACAGTGGCAGGAGGGAAGTTCAGGCAGAGGCACCTTAATTTCCGTAGCACTGAATACAGAGTAACAATACGCATATCTTATAATAAAGGAAAATAATAGCTTTCTGGACCAAATTTGGGATGAGGGCATCTGGATCAAAGAAGACTCAGCACATTTCTTCTTTCCATACATCCTCAAGAGAAACATGATAATATCTGTTATAAAACTGGTTTTATATACTTTTAAAACTATATACATATCTACTATTTTGTTTAAACTTAAAAAATTTTTTTGGACCAGCAGATGGCATGGAGGTTAAGGCAACTAGATCCCGTATTGCCAACAGAGATCGAGTCCTGGACCTGGTGCTTGAAAAACATACCAGATACACGTGCATATGTACCCCAAATTCCAAGAGAATGAAGAAAAGGAATTGTAGCATGACCATTCCCCCCCTCAGGGAGCTGCTTTCTTACTTTCACTTTCTCTGTCTCTGGTGAGTGCTTGTTGTGCCCTATGACAAAATTTTAAAATAAAATAAATGTTTAAGAAAGGAAAGACAGGGAAAACAACTAGAATTTTCTGGACTTTACAAAAATATTAATCACTCATTCTCATATTAACCCACAAAATCACTATTATTTCTTTTTTAAAAAAATCTGTTTTACAGACCAGCAGATGGTATAATGGTTATGTTGCTGGGCTCTCACATGGCTGACCATAGTTTGAATCCCAGACCTGATGGCTTGAAACTCCATGTGCCCAAAATCCTGAGAGGAGAATGGAGAAGAAGGAACTGCAGTGTGGCCATCCCCCTGGGGAGGTAATTTCTCACTTTCTGTCTGTCTCTCTGGCAAGCACAGTCACATAGGGTGCCCTATAGCAATAATCTCTTTCTAAAAATAAGTAAACAAATAAATATTTAAAAATTTGCTATGGGGAACAAGCAATAGCTAAAGAGAAACACAGAGAGCGGGACAATGTGAGAAAGCATCCCCTGAGAGGATGCTGCACTGCGATCCCTTCTCCCCCATTCGCCTTTTGGGACGTTGGGAACGTTCATATATGTATCTGGTGTGTTTTCCAAGTCGCATGGTCCAGGACTCAAACTGTGCAGTCAACCAGGTGGGATCCAGCTGACTTAACCACCACACCACCGGCTGGCCCTGCTATTATTTCTGTCCTATACTACTAAGGTTCAAAGAAATTTTTTAAAAATTAAAAAAAAATCCTGCCCACATTCATTTGCTAGAACTTGCTTACTTTAGTCTTCTTCATCAAGCCAAGCACTCTGACATAATACAATTTTACTGCCATAAGCATAGGCATATTTGATGTGTTATTTTAAATTTATTTCTAGCAAATCTGTAGCTCTTCAGGTAAAAGACACTCAAGTAGTAACACATCACTTATCCCAGGAAAACAATCTTTGTTGGGGCAGAATAAGAACTGTGGTAAAACAAATTTCAGGGATCCAGCAATATAACCACTTGTTTGTTAAGAGTTCTCTGGCAGAGCTGATATTAGAATTCCTGGAAACTATTTACAGCTTCCTAGGACTTGGTATTTTTTAAAAATACCTTTCCTTACCTAAAAAGGAGAATTATTTACTTAACATTTTCCATAAACAACTTGTAAGGACTGAAAATATTAGCAAAGACTTAAGCATCTCAATTAAAACTATTTCTTCCTAGCAATGTACATATTATTAATGTTCTTTCTTGGTTTGACTTTTTTGTGTTTTACAAAGAGAGTGTGTAGTACTATTAAAGTGTTACCCCAACAGGGTAAAGGAGAAAGTAAGTCTCTCAGGTAGAGAGTCACAAATATGAAGTTAAAGATAATTTTCTGAGAGAGGGTATCTGTAAATATACTTACTACTGCTAAACCTTTATTGAACACAACAGGTAGAGTGGAATGAATAAGAAAACCTACTACAGGAGGCTAGGCAGCGAGTGGCACAGGAGGTAACATATGATATTCCACAAGGCCGTCCCACGTGGGAAAGCTCCAGGCTTGTCTCCAGAGACCTCCTTGCGTATGGCAGGCACATGTGTGCCCTTCCCTTCTTCCCATCTGGAGATGGCTACGGTTGGGAGTGGATCTTGGTGTCAAGACCCCACTGGGGGGTGCTCTTTCTTTGTCACTCTCTGTCTCACTTATCCATGAAACAAAATACATAAACTTAAAAACTTAACTATGTGTTAAAAGCTGTCTTGGCACTTTTAATACACTTTTTTTTTTTTTAAAGGTTTTTGTCATAGGGCAGTGTGCTTGCTAGAGAGAGACATAGAGGGAAAATGAGAAATCGTCCCTCCACCCCAGGCATGCTTCAATTTCCCCTCCCCCAATCTCCTCTAGCGATACTGGGCATGTATGCACGTGTGCCTGGCAGGTCTGCTGGGTCTCAAGCACTGGGTTCAGGGCTCACACCATAGTCGGCCAGGTGAGAGTTCAGCACCTTAACTAGCACACCACCCGCTGGCCTGACATACCATCTTATCTGATGTTCATAAGGAGACTAGTTCGTGATAACATCCCCATTCTAGAGATGACAAGTCAAGGATTTAAGGTTAAGTAGTCTGCCTGAAGTCACCCAGTAAATGGTCAAGATCTGTTCAATTCCACAGTCCTCACCATTTCCTCCACGCCTGCTGTTCCCCAACTAACCTCTAGTTTAAGACGGTGTATCAAACTAATACACATACTCAGTGCAATAGAAGTAAAACAAGAATAAGTTAGACACTGAGCGAAGGTTAAAATAAAATCCCAGTGGCTCCTGGGCTGGCAGGTGGCCTGATGGTTAAGGGTGCTGGACTCCCACATGGCTGACCATGGTTCAAGTACCAGACCTGATGGCTTCCTTCCTCACTTTTCTCTCTCTTTGTCCCTCTCTGGTCAAATTAAATAGATAAATAAATAAAGTTAGATAAAATAACTCTTAAAAAAAAATCCCAGTGGCTTTGAGACAAAAAAGCAATTTAAGAATAAAATGGCAGAAGTTTATAATTTAGTCAGATACCAAAAATTGTTTTTGCCAGAGGAAAAAACCTAAGCATCTCTGCTCTATATCACCTGTTATTATTGGTTGTTTACCTCTATCACATTTCTTCACACTTCTTTCCAAACCAAATAATCCCGCTCATATTTCTAATCACCCACTGCTATTATTTTTGTGGGCCATGGATCACAGCTACGCAGACTTATTTCAGAAGTCTGTAATGCAATGAGTGTCAATCAACCACAGTAATTCCTCCACTTAGAGCTGACTCCCTCATGAATATCTGAGAACTTAGTTTACTGTTTCAACGTGTGGTAGGCTGATATTTTCAAAGATTTGTCCAGAATCTTCTCCAAGTTCTTTTCCTGACTGAAAATGAGGAAGACTGATGCAATTAGCACAAATTCCTAAATCCACTTCCTAATTATCCTCCCATGTATTTGGATGGAGATGCCTGTTATTTCCCTGGTGAGAATGAGAATGCTCCTAGATAGTTATTTTATCCACATAATTAAGAATCTTCCTTTCAGTAGCCTTGGACAAAGCATTCTGATAAATGATATGGATTGTAAATATAGCAACTGCCCTTGTGGGACACTCACAATGTCCTACCCCTCCTCATTCCAAAGAGCCACTGAAAACCACACCGCTAAAGAGCAGAGCATCTCTCACAGGGTATCAGAGGCCACGATCCTTAACACGAAAGCATGAATGGTAGGATCTAAATCCATAAGAGTCGAGGGGAGGTCGAGAGGGAAAGTGAGAAAGCAAGCCACCAGGTCCTCTGTCAGACAGATTCAACTTCCTGGCACTATCTCTGAGCTCTGTTCATTTATTTCTTTTTGCATTATGCTCATCTACATATATAATTTTTTTAAAAACTTACTTGTATAGCTGAGCTATTAGGCTGTCAGGAAAGTCATGACATATTTTTCTATGCAAAAATGCGTCACAACTTTCCAGACAATCCAGTAAGTATCCTTTTTTGGAGGAGAGCCTCTGCTACCACTTGGAGTTATTCTGATGCAGTTTCTTATAAGAGCAGATTCTTACAAGTTTAGTTTTGTCCTTTGGCAGCATAACAGGCTCCTTTTTTGCACTGGTTATTCTATGTTAACCCCTTTTAGTATGGGTTTGTTTGCATTGTTTATGTACCTTTATGGGATGCCAAATTCCTTTGGACTAGATTTCCCCCCATTACCTATGCCATGAGTTCATAGAGGATTGATTATGGCAGTTCAAGCTTTTTACTACTGGCTCTAAAAGCAGGCTTTTTAGGGCAGAGTCATCTCAGTAAGTCCAGCCCAGGAATATTTGTTTAGTCTCCTTCTCTTTCCATATACTTTCCTTTACACAATTAGGGAGGAAATCTTGGCCTTTAAGAATATTTGACGTTCTTGGGGCCAGCAGATGGTGTAGCAGTTATGTTGCTAGATTCCCACGTGGCCAGCCATGGTCTGAGTCGCAGATCTGGTGGCCTGAAACTCACATCGGGTGCGTGTGTGTGCAGGCCCAAGATCCCAGGAGGAAAATGGAGGAGAGGGGATGCCCTAAGGCAAAAACCTCTACCCACATAGATAAAGAAAGATTATTTGACATTCTAGGTACCAGCTGGTGGTGTGGTGGTTAAAGTGGCTGGATTCTACACGGCCATGGCTGACTGTGTGACTGAGTCCTGGACCTGGTGGCTTGAATATCACACTAGGCACGTGTGTATGCATGCTCAATACCAAAAGAAAAATGGAGAAGGGATTGTGGTGGTGTGGCCATTCCCCTAGGGAGTGCTTTCTCACTTTCCATTCCTCCCGGTCTCTCTCTTTCTCTCTTCCCATCACTGTCTGTCACTGGCAAGTGCATGCACTCTACAGCTAAAATGAAAAGAATATTTGACACTCTCTTAAAAATTATATAAATTTTCCTGCTTGTTTTTCTTACAACAATGCCCACAGCTTATAGCTGGATGGGTCCACAGTACCATCTCTTTCAATAATGATACTGCACACTCTTCCAGTTTTATCATGGCTTACTTAAGGGGTATGGAAAACCACCAATACCCTTGAATGTTTAGAATACAACAGTTCCTAAAAGATTCACAAGAGTAGCCAAAATACCCCCTTCCCTTCTACCCATTTTATTTTTTTAAAAGGTCTTAGTATGTACAAAATGAATCCTTATCTTTCCCTTTGGGTTAGTTATTTTGACAAATTACCTGAACATCATGGTCTGGCCAAAAGGCTAAAGTAGATTTCAAATAAAAAAAGGTGCTATATGTCTTTCAATACTAGGATTACTATTCTAATTGTGACTTGTGATAAATTCCCTTTTTTAGTTCCTTGAGCATCATAAAAATTGCTCCTCTACTCAAAACAGTAATGCCCACCTTCATCTTCACTGCTCTCAGACTCAGGAAGCTTGATTCTCCTCCTCTTTTTCTTCACGTGTTCAGTTTCTTTTGTCTCATCATCAGATAACTCTATTCGCTTCCCCCTGTTGCTGTTCAGGAATAAACAAGTTACAAGAACAAAACTATAAACATGTTCCTAAGCTTTTTGCTTTATAACCACTTGGTTTTAATTCCAGAGGGTAGAAAACAAAGTGAAAGTAGGTCAATGAGGAGGCTTTTTCAAAATGCTCGAACGGACCACAGCTAGGTCACTAGACAAGATGACCAGAAGAAAAATCCCCTCTAGCCCTCTAAGGAACACCGGAAGCTACAATCAAGTTATCAGGAATCTCCAAATTCCTTCTTACATCCCCTATTGGCCTTATAATCATCCAATATGCATTAAATAAGCAGCTCCTGCCTTTATACAAGGTTCTTTACTAAATACCGAGGATACAAAGACCAGAAGGAAATATTGTCCTCAGCACTGGCAAACATCACTAGCTAAAATACAATAGGATAAATTTTACGGAACTAATATTATGGATCATGATTCTTACTTGAAAAATTTAAAAGCTAAGTAGAAGTTCACCAGGGAGAGGAGATACATACTCTGAAGAGAAAGAACATTATGAGCAAAGGTATAGATACAAGACTTTAAGGTTATAAAAATCTTAGGTTCCACCTTTGCAGAACTTAGTTCCTCTGTCTAGATACTCCCTCACACCACTCAATCTACAAATAATTTATCAAGAGCCTATTGTGTATTAGAAATAAAATATTTACAAGACAGTCTTTGTTGTCAACTACCTCATATCTTTGTCATTGTTTTTTTAATTGCCAGAGGGTGCATGCACTCACCAGAGAGATAGAGGAAAAGGGACAAACTCCCCACCCCCCAGTGGGGAGTGGTCATGGTAAACTTCCTTTTCCTCCATTTCTCAGTCCTGCTGGAATTTTAGGCATGCACACACATGCCCGGTATGTTTTCTAAGCCACCAGGGCTGGGATTTGAATCAGGTCAGTCATGTGGGATCTGGCTCCCTTAACTAGTAGGCCAGAGGGCTGGGCCCCTGATGCCTTCAAATATCAATCTCTTTTCCTACTTTGAGCTAGAGAGCAGATATCAATTAGATAGACAATAGCAAAAAAATTAACTAAGCCAAAAGCTGTTATTTTCTGGGGAAAAGATTAATAAAATTAATAAGCCTCTTACAAAACTGAGAAAAATATGTATTACCAACCAGGAATGAAACAATGAACAATATCTAACAAGGAAATATAGCAAAAGAAAGAAAAAAAAAGGTTCTTTTATGAACAACTTTATGTCAGTAAGTTCAACAATGTATATAAAATAGACAAATTCCTTTCAAAGCACGACTTAGGGCTGCCCCATATAGCACAGTGTTTAGTTAAAGCATTGGGAGTTAGATCCCACATAGCTGTAGTTTGAGTCCAGGACCCAGCAGTTTGAAAATCACACTCGGGATGTGTGCAGACCATGGCCAAAATCATGATGAAAAGGAGAAATGTTACTTTCCACTGAGGGATGCTTTCTCTCTCCACCATTCCCGATTCCCTGGCCAGGCATGAACCCTCTGGTAATAAAGAAAACAAGAAAAAATATGTATATAACTTAGTCAAATCTGATGCAAGAAGAACTAGAACATTTGAATAGATGTATTTAAAGAAATCAAATTCGAGCCAACCCATGGCATAGTGGTAAAGATGGCTGGATGTCATAGGGTTGACTCCATGGTTCAAGTTCTGGACCTGGTGGCTTAAAAAACATGCCAAACGTATGTGTGTGCATGACCAAAATCCTGAGAAGAGAACAGAGGAGAAAGGACTGCAGTGTGTCCATTCTCCCTGCAGGGGAAGGGAGCTTATGCACTTCTTTCTCTGCTTCTCTCCAGCGAGTGCATGTGTACTCCAGAAAAATTTATTTTAAAAATTTAAAAAAAGGAAAAAAGAAAGAAAATTCACAAGGAAAAAACCTTCCGATAAAGAAATTCTAGGCCTGAGTTCACTGGCAAATTTTGCCAAAACTTCAAGACAGAAATGATATGTATCTTACATACAACTCCTTTGGAAAACAGAGGGAACTCCTACCAACTAATGTTATAACCTTAGTACAGCTTTTGTTTTTTGCTTATTTTTTAACTATAGTATTTCTTCCATGAGTGAGAAAGACAGAGAGATGGAGATATAGCACCTTCAACAGGGTCTTGGCACCGTAATCCAGCTCCAGCCAGTTCAGATAAGAGGCACACACACACACCCAGAATACTCAGGGAGGGCTCTGGACATGAACTGCAACATTCTTACATGGGTCTGCCAGAGATACACATATTACCTCTGCACTACCGTCCAGCCCTGAACTTAAGCATAGCTTTGATACTGGAACATAACAAAGACATTATCAGAAAATAACTGACCTATATAGCCCTCATAAACATAAAGGTAAAAAATTCTTCATTTAGCATTAACAAGTCTAATTCAGATATAAAAGGATAATACATCATGACCCAAGAAGGCAAGGTTGGTTTAACTTATATTTAAAATCAACCACTATAAGGGCTGGCAGGTAGCATGGTGGTTAGAAGTGCTGGACTCTCACATGGCCAGCCACAGTTCAAGTCTTAGACCTGGCAGTTTGCTCTCTCACTTTCTTTCTCTCTCTCTTTCTCTCATCAAAATTAAATAACAAATAAAAATTTTTAAAAGAATCAATGAGTAGGGACCAGCCGTTAGCACAATGGCTATGTCGCTGAACTCCCATGTAGTCGACCGCAGCTCAAGTCTCGGACCAGGCGGCTTAAACTCACACAGGGTGCACGTGCATGCGTGCCCAAGATCCCAAGAGGAGAACGGAGGAGAAGAGATTGTGGTGTAGCCATCCCCCCGGGGAGTGATTTCTCACTTTCTGTCTTTCTGTCTCTTTCTGTCTTTCTGGCGCGCGCACGTGCCCTATAGCAAAAACCTCTCAAAAAAAAAAAAAATCAATGAGTATAATTTAACACATTAACAGAAATACCATATGATTATCTCAATAAATACAGAAAAAGCATCTGTCAAAAATCAACACCTATTCATGATTAAACCTCTCAGTAAACTTGGAATAAAAAAGAACTTTCTCAATCTGGTAAAAAACATCTAGCAAAAAACAACATTTAATATCAATTTAATAGTAAAATACCAAATGCATTCCTGGTAATAACCTTCAACACTGAGTGTTGGACCCATGGACCCATTTTAATCCATCCACAGCATATGTTCACAAGAGGTGAGGCCCATTGGCTAGAGCCTTAACCTTCTGAAACTTCGCTGTTTCGTCATTTTCTACTACAGCAGCACCCACCTCCCCCTGCCCCCTGCCACAAAAATCAAGTCTTTCTAGGCCTATCAGTGTTGACAGTGTCCTTTAGAATTTCTTTCAACAGACTAATTCCTACCAACTATGAGGTAGTGTCTCAAATTCCTGGATCCTTATTTAACAGCTTGTGTGCTTTTTATTTTCTTTTCTAATTACATTTTACCACTTGAAAAATAAACTCATTGATACAAAAAGAAAACAAAGAACTTTTCTCTTAAATTTCACTGGAAATAGTAACCTTTCATTTGGCGATTTGCAGTGAAAAACAGACATGTGCACACACAGGCACTGCAGACAATTAGGCTTGCTTATGCTATGTCCCCAAATTTAAAATGAAGAGAGGAAAGACAATCAATTTAGGTCAGTGAGGCCCCCCCAAATGACTCTGGGCCCTAAATCGTCCAAGGTGGCTGAGTCCATAGTTCTACTTTACCAGGTAAGTTACTGTCTCTTTCTAGTTGCAGTGTAGAGTTGTACACCCAAAGCATTAAGTAGGATTTCATACTCAATTGAAACTGTCTACTGTCAGTAAGCCCGAGCAGACCTTCTCACCCCAGTAGAGTGACTCTTCCCTCACAGCAACAAAATTTTCCTACCCTAAGCCAGAATTAAGCCTCAAGGAACCGTATCACACCTGACTTTGTACACAGTACAATACACTGTGTCCCTGAGGAAAAAACAATGACAATATGCACCCCCATAGAACAAAAAATCAAGTCTTTCTAGGCCTATCAGTGTTGACAGTGTCCTTTAGAATTTCTTTCAACAGACTAATTCCTACCAACTATGAGGTAGTGTCTCAAATTCCTGGATCCTTATTTAACAGCTTGTGTGCTTTTTATTTTCTTTTCTAATTACATTTTACCACTTGAAAAATAAACTCATTGATACAAAAAGAAAACAAAGAACTTTTCTCTTAAATTTCACTGGAAATAGTAACCTTTCATTTGGCGATTTGCAGTGAAAAACAGACATGTGCACACACAGGCACTGCAGACAATTAGGCTTGCTTATGCTATGTCCCCAAATTTAAAATGAAGAGAGGAAAGACAATCAATTTAGGTCAGTGAGGCCCCCCCAAATGACTCTGGGCCCTAAATCGTCCAAGGTGGCTGAGTCCATAGTTCTACTTTACCAGGTAAGTTACTGTCTCTTTCTAGTTGCAGTGTAGAGTTGTACACCCAAAGCATTAAGTAGGATTTCATACTCAATTGAAACTGTCTACTGTCAGTAAGCCCGAGCAGACCTTCTCACCCCAGTAGAGTGACTCTTCCCTCACAGCAACAAAATTTTCCTACCTCTTTTTTTCCCTCTGCTGCATCTTCATAGGCTCTGCCTTTCTTCCAGCTTTCTTTAGGCTGGTAGGAGCTGCCAACTTTGGTTCAGTGACAGGCACTGGAGGTTGTTCCACTCTTTTTTCTTCTTTCACTGCTTGTTCTGAATCCAAATTGACTTTAAGTTTCTCTACAAATAAAGTATAGCCGATGATATATAACCCCATGGTGCAATATCATTCCGTCATTCTGTCAGTCTTCTGACACTCCGTTATATGCCAGACATGTTAGAAGCAGAGGCTAAAAGGATAAAAAACAGTCCCTGTCCGAATGGAGCTCACACTATTCAGAAAACACTTCTGTCCAACCACTGCTCTAGCTATAACTATTTCATTTCTGCTGCCTGCTAATCCCTCATTCTAGCACAGTGCCCGAGCCAAATGACAGTAAAAGCAAGATTTAGAAAAAGTGCAACTTTATGAGGTATCATCCTTTTCATTTTCCAGATGAGGAAAACTAAGAGATGATTAAAAGATGCTTCCCAGGAGTACAGAGCTTACAAATGGTGACAAAAGAATTTGTTGTAAGACCTTTTCTTCCTATTATATTCTACCACTTAACGCTTGGATAGTCCTACCTTAATACTGCCTTGATGATAAAAATGAAAGGCCATTTTGGAATCAGAAAAGTTTGGTTCAAACCTTGCTTTACTCTGGGCTAGTTATTTTATGTAAGTCAGTCTTCTCTATAAATGAGTTAATATTTACAAGATTATCATAAGCATCAAGAGAGACTAGGGGGCCAGCAGATGGTATGGTAGTTAAGGCACTGAATCCCACATGAGGGACGGTGTGGTTCGAGTCCCAGACCCAGAGATTTTAAAAAACACACCAGACAAGACTGCATGCATGCCCAAAATCTCGAGAGGAGAATGGAGGAGAAGGAATTACAATGTGGCCACCGCCCTGGAGAGGTGGTTTTCTCTGGCTCTGTTTCTCTCTCCTGTTAGTGCATGCACAAAAGAAAACAGAAAAAAGAAAAAAAGAGATCAATCAGTATCAGTATGTGAGATTAAGTGACTTACCTAAGGTAACACAAGATCTGAACCTGTTAGCTGAACTCCTCAGTCTTTACCCCTTTCTCCCTATTCCAAGCTGAACATAAAAACAACTACTTTGCAGTACAGAGGACTAAGAAATGCAAGAAGATAGGCCTAGCCACCTGTGAAACTACAGAAGCATATAACCTGGTCTTCCTGCTGTATTCAGTGATAACTCTCTATAGGCAGTCACAAATACTAAGCTGTAAACAGCAAAAGGTGCCTTGATAAGTAGTTCTGGTTCCATATAAAACATGTACAGCACAGAAAAAAATTGACATCTTAGTCTTGGCTGTTATGCACAGTTTAGTATAATCATTTATAAATAACATTATTTGAAAGTATGAATAATAAAGTATAAAGTGCAATCTATTTATATGTTAGTTTTTGGAAGGAAGACTTGAATGGGAAATCTGAATGGTAGAACCCAACAGCACAATGGTAGTGTATCCCTTGCATTTGCAATACGACTGTTCTCAACTATCAGTACTTCTCAGTTTTCTACCAAAATACTCCAAATTGTACAGGAAAATAAACACTAAGAGTCAATAGCTAACTAAAAATAATATTTCTCTGAATTCACATGTGTATCTTAAAATTTATATAACTTTTACAGTCTATTATATACATACTATTTAATAGTAATTATTTAGAAATGACACCATTATGGGGCTGGCAAGTGGCACGGTTGGTAGGGCACTGGACTCTCACATGGCCGACCACGGTTTCAGTCCCACACCTGGCAGCTTGCTTTCTCACTCTCTCTTATTCTGTCTCTCTCTTGTCAAATTAAATGATAATAATAGTTACAAATAAAATTAAATTAATTATTTTTTAAAAAAGGAAATTACATCATTAGGAGGAAAGACTTCCAAATATTTCTTACCTACCTCATGGGTTAAGAAAAGAAAGGCTACTGCATTGAGTCTACCAATTTCATAAAACTAATCTGAAACTCATGATTTTACTCTGAACACTCGACTTTGAAAAATGTTACATCAATTCTGTAAGTGATTCTTTTTATTGGGTGAATATTTAAGTCTTATTTTAATCAAGTTTTGATTATCTACCATACCTGTTTGTCTCTGCCTAGCGATTATAATTAGTAACTAATTTATATTCCCCTATTTATTTACCTGTCTCTCCTAAGTAGAATGAATATAGGACTAGGAGGGAGTGACCTGGTCTATTTTTTTCTCCACTGTCTAACCAGTGGACAATAGTGCCAGGCACAACAGGTGCTCAATCAACATATGCTAAATAAGTATATTAACAAAGAAGTGCATACTTCTGCACAGGATTTTTTATAATTAGCAAATAATCATGTAACCTTATGTGTATGTGCTTGCCAGAGAGAAAGAAAGAGGTTAAGTTAGAAATCACCCCCCAGGGTTATGGCCATGCTGCAATCCCTTCTCCACTCTCTTGGGATTTCAGGCATTCATGCACAAGTACCTGGTGTGATTCTCAAGCCGCCAGGTCCATGACTAGAACCATAAAGCTGACCACGTAGGATCCAACCTCTTAACCCCCACACCACCTGCTTGCCCCGGTTCACTGGCTTTTAATGTTACAAATGCACAAAAACAACATGTGTACATATATGTGGTCCTCATCAGAGATGCCAAGAATCCATAATCTCAGGGCTGGCAAGTGGCATGATGCGTAAGGGCACTGGACCCCCACATGACTGACTAAGGTTCAAGTCCTGGACCTGTTTTCTCGCTTTCCCTCTCTCTCACTCTTGCTCTGTCCCTCTCTGGTCAAATATAAATATGTAAATAAATAAATTAAATTAAATAATTATATAAAAAAGCAAAAAACAAAAAACAACGATCTGCTGTGAGGTTATTGACCTAAAAACTGTAAGCCCCATGGTATAAGTGCTTTAGAGATTTCCTCTTTCACAACTACCATACTTTAAAGTCGTAGGAGGGGAGAACATCACCTTAAATGGGTTTTGCCACTGCGTTTGCAGGACACGAGTTACAGGTGTTATTTCTAACTCCAACTCGGAGATTCACAATGCAGTGTAGAGTACTGTAGTTCAGAAGACCCACCTTTGCCTTTCCCAGTATTATTTGCCCATTCTTTGTTCCGTGGCAGCCTTTTCTAAACTCTATTTTACAGAAAGCAGATACGGGAAGTCTGTGTCTCTGTAACATGGTATAAACTGCAGTTGGGAGAGGAACACACCAGGAGCTGTGAGAGAGAAAATGGACACTCTTTATTACCCTGTGTACTGGGCACTGTACTAGGCACTGGAACTATAACGGAGCACAAGATAGACACAGTTGTTCACGCAGAAGTTTACAGTTTAGCATTGAAAAGAGAAATTTACTAAATGTGGGACAAGCACTATGGCAAGGAAAATACAAGATCTTGGGGAGCACATAGTTCGGCACCTAATAGGTATGGAGGGACCAGAAAGATTTCACAGACGATGCAGAACTTAGGATGAGCTTTAAAGAATAGTGGAAAGGGGGACAGGCAGGTGGCATGGTGGTTAAGGACCTTGGACTCCCACATGGCCGACCACAGGTCGAGTCCCGGACCTGGTGACCTGTTTTCTCGCTTTCCCTCTCTCTCACTCTTGCTCTGTCCCTCTCTGGTCAAATATAAATATGTAAATAAATAAATTAAATTAAATAATTATAAAAAAAAGCAAAAACCAAAAAAACAACGAACGTGCAAATCCCATAATTCGACTGGGACAATGGCCCCACACCAGACGTGCCGCTCAGGTACAGAGTGTGATGTTCTCACAGCAGAAGGGAGCCCTCCCCATACACTGTGCCTGCGATAATATGATCATGTTTCCGAATAAACTGAAGGGTCATGTTTTCCAAATACTTCAGGACACAAGAGTGTTCTTCTCTGATAGTTCTTATGGCAGATTAAAAAAAAAAAAAAACCCATCACTCCAATCCCTCCCTTGACCACTAATTTAATCATCACGAAAAAGCAGAATTGACTAGTTCTGCTTGCACAGGCATGTAAAAAAAAAATCTCTGCAAAACTGATACTCTAAGAAAGTGTGCCATAATTATCCTACAGCTCCCACATTCTTCCTGGTGCTCTGCCATATATCCTCAGAGCGTTTGTACTTGATATGAGAACTATGAAAATAAGTGACTATTGGTTCTTTCCACATGAAAGAACTCTTATTTAAATATATTTTTTTTAATAAGGGAGATTTTCACTTTCTCAAAAAATATTTTTAAATGGCACTTCTAATTCACACTGAGGTCTTAATTCATCACTGTGAGTAAGCTATAAAAATACCTAAAGAAAGGCCAAAGGTTTGCTTCTGCGACCCCTTGGGAGACAGGAATAAAAAAGGTCATACTGGGCAAGCTGATCCAGCACCCTAACATTAACCGCAACTCTATTCTGTTTCACCAAGCAGTCTCCCTTTCGTGTTGATCACCCATTTGCAAGAGCCCTATGAAGCAAATATGTCCCACTCTTTTCAAGACAGGAAGTACAAGCAGGAATAGTAAACTACCCTCCACGAGAGCTCAGCCGAGCCCAGCTCATCCATAAAGCCCAGTGTTCCAGTTAGGTTTCTTTCTTTGATACACTGGTAGTACATTGCATATTCATGTTGGGGTGCAGGAGTGCTACATGGTAGTCTCCTGGATGAGCAAAAACCAGAATAGGTGGCTTTCATCTCTGGTATGGTATGTCATTATGCTGACATTCATTTACTAGTCAAAGGAAAGTAAGAGAATGCTTACTCATTGCAGCTTTTCCAAAAAAGTTGCTCATCAGATTGCCTTTCCCTGGTGCTTTGCTGCCTGCTGAAGATGCCTAAAAGCACAAAAAGAAAACATATGTGATTTTTCTTTGGCTTTTAGGCTACCTGAAGTAGCACAGTCTCAATCGCAGAGCTCATGACAAAATACATAGGCATTAGACAGAACACCTAGGGGGCCAGTCAGTGATAGGTGGTTAAGGAGGCTGGATCTCACACAGTTGACCATGTGGTTCAAGTTCCAGACCTGGTGGCTTGAAAAACATGTTGGGCATGACTGTCCAAAATCCCCAAGGGAAGATGGAGGAGAAAGGATTGTAGCATGACTGTTCTTCATGGGGAGAGGGGTACTTTTCCTCTCTCTGAAGAACACATGTGCTCTCTGGCAAAATTAAAAAACAAACTAGGATCACATGTGCTCTCTGGCAAAATTAAAAAACAAACAAACTAGGATCCACTGGTGGCTCAGTGGGAATGCAACACTCTGATACTGGGCCCATATGAGAAGGCCCCAGGTTCATATTCCAAGGTCTCCCAGTGCATACTAGGCACACCAGTGATCCAGGCTGGCTGAGGCTAGGAGTAAATCAAAGCATGAAGATTCTGATGAGACACCCGCCCACTTGTCTCTCACATAGAAGACATAAACTTGAAAGAAAGAAAGAAAGAAAGAAAGAAAGAAAGAAAGAAAGAAAGAAAGAAAGAGAGAGAAAGACAAAAAGCCTGTCTAGAACAATAATCCAGACCAGTCAGTTTTTGGTGTTCATCTTCAAAGATTAGTTTCTCATAGTCCTTAAAAAAATCATTACCCATGGGCATGTCTAAACTTTTCTAAGGCACATTTAAAAACTGTTAGTTTGACAGAATTAAAACAGGTCAGAGGCAGCATGGTATGGGAGGATGGGGATCCAAAACAGTGAATTTTTAATCATCTGAAGTGGATTTGAATCCTGGTTCTACCACTTAACATAGTATGACCTTCAGACAAGTTATTTAAAAAATCTAGGCTTTGGGTTCACTACATGTGAAATGGGAATCGTACTGTTTCCCTCACAGAATTGATAAGAGGATTTAAACAAAGATCAAACTACTGGCATGCAGTAGAAACTCAATAAATGTGTTTTTCTCTATCCCTCATCTTCTTTTTTTCCAAGGTAGAATTTTGAAAATTATGATGATGACAATAGTAATAACCATAAGTATACCCATCTGGGTTTTTATTTTGATACTTTTCTTAAGTCAATTCCCTTAAATCTAGGTGACAAACAATAAAAAAGCATGGGAAGCAAATGGAAAAAAGAATTTGCATAAAATAAAACAAGAATGCTAAACACACTAGAAAGAAAGATATACGTATAGCAGATTATAAGATGTTCCCCAAATGACATATTACTAATATACAATCCTTTGCACTTTACATTTGAGGTGTTTTCACACGTGTCATTGCAACTGGGTCTCACAGCGATCTTGTGATGTGGACAGACAAGCATTACCCATTCACAGGAGAATCCCAAGCTTGGCAAGAAGTATCACCAGAAGGAAAAGGACTATGACAGTGAATACCAAGTATTAATGCATTCAAACTACAGTAGAAAACCAACTGAATACCATATAATATCCATAATTACACTACTACTACCACAAGCACTATCAGTGCTTCTCTTTATGTTCTAAGCTGGAAGAAAGGTGTATCTTCAAAGACTTACATTTGTTACTTCTTTAGCTTCTGTTTTGGTTTCCTTGTTGGTATCCTGAGTTTTCGCAGCAGCTTTAGAGGCAAACATTCCCATAATTCCTTTGGGATGCTGGGAAACCTGTTTGGCAGCAGGTGGGCCATGACCATTGGTGGTCGGCTCATTACTGGCCTGTGCCTCACTTGAAGCCTCGAGATTTAACTGTTCTAACTGTTTGGAAGATGAAGATTCAGCA